GAGTAGCATGGTGAACATAATATAGAACTTATAAGGTGGACATATTTCGATAACAGAAGATGTGAGGCAGAGCCAATAAAGGAACATAAACATCTAGAAGTTAACTAAAAGAAATAGGAACTTTTGAATTTTCTTTTCAAGTTTTGAAAAGTTTTACAATAAAGGGAAATAGGAAGATTTATTTTTCTATTTCTTGTATTTTCTATTTTTATAATTCGTTCTATTTAACTTATTTTCCTATTTTCTACATTTCCTATTTTTCTAATTATTTTTATTTATTTTATTTTCCTATTTATTAGGTTCTTTTTCTAGATTTTCTATTTTGATGTATCTTGGTGCTTAAAAATAAGGTGCTCTAGGTTAGTTATTAAGTAGATTATTCATGATTATATTCATATATTGAAATATCCGTTTGATTATTGAGATATGGGATCTTCAAATTTTGTTCTTAGTAAAAATCTTCGAGTTTGTATTCAAGTTCTCTTTGTCCTACATCACTGAGTGTTAGTGCTTTGAGTTTATTGAGTTACTAATATATATCATTACCTTTCTCAAGGAGCTCACATGGATAAAATACCGTGTATGGTAAACTTAAATATTACGTATATGTTCATCGCATGAGTCTTAGATATGTTTTTGGGGATTCATGAATAATGTTATGGGAATATGTAAGAGGACATGGAAGAAAGAGAATTGTGTAAAAGTTAAGTAACTAAGCATGCGTTGAGAAGTGTATGAGTTATTGAGTGGGAAGGTTCATCTAATAGGAATTATTATATATTATGAATGTAAAGTGGCTCTTGCAATCATCTTTATATGGAAGCTGCAGAATCTTGCAATCATCTTCTTCTTTGGTGCCCGGTAACGTATAATTTATGGCATATGGTGTACAACCTATTGGGTATCAATTGGGTGAGTGGGGGCTCGGTTAAGAATGAATTGTGGGCTTGGGATGGGGTGGGGAATAGATCCATGTTTGTTAAAATGATTTCTTATCTATATTTTGAATGATTTGGAAAAAGATGAACAATAGAGCATTCAATGGGTGTGCGAGGGACATTGATAAAATTAGAGATAGATGGTTAGCTACTTTTAGGACTTTTGTTCTTGGGCATGATATGTGTGGGTGAGATGATTTTAGAAAGGTTTTGGATGCACTAACTGATTTGTAAATACTTTTGTATATGGGTGAACGTCTTGTTTGGTGTCATATACATAATACACATGTTTTTTATTTTAAAATAATGAATGTAAAGTGGTTGATAAAATGAAGTCCTCCATCTTCTTGAATTCTCCTGCTCTTCTGTAATTCCTTGAGAAATATCGTAACACATACTTCCAATAAAGTCATATTCAAACTTTCAATTTCCAAAAGAATGGTATTGGAGCTTCCGATTTTTAACAAAGTTTCGCACAAGGAGACCTAGAAGGATGCTTTTCTTAAATAATGATAATGATGTTATTTGAAATTTTGGTCATTATGCGATGTTACTATTTGCTTTGGAGTTTTTTGGCATTGACTCTAGAATGTGATACTTTACTGGACCTTGGAAATGATTCTCACAATCTACGGCACTTCATGGCTCTTCTATTTTTCCTTTGGCATTATTTATCTTCATATAACATCAATACATGTTGCCTTATTGCTTAGCTTTCTTTCCATGCTTCTTCTCCTCTTTGTTTCCTATTGTCAGAAAGGTCCTTGGTGGGCTGGTAGGATTTATTTGTTTGAAAAAAGAATTGCACCAACCATCTCCTGTCTTATTTTTAGTTTCTGGTTGTGTTTTATTCTTATTTCCTGTTATTTTTTCGAGAGTTAAGCTAAGTATCAAAGTAATTTTCCCCATCACGACACTTTTTCTGAGAGTTCCCGTCAGGATACTTGACCATTTGCCGACAATGGAGTGAATGGGAATATAAATTTTTTCTGGATTTACATAAAAAACCTAGAACCATTATAAATCCTTTGGATATTTTAGTATTTTCTTGCAATCTATTTATTTTTAGTGGGAGCTACTATAGATAACCTTGCCCTTTTCTCAGCCCCTCAAACTAGAACTGCATCCTTTTAGGACTTACATTTGTTAAATGTCTCAGATTAGCACCTGGCATTTATTTTTTCCATAAAATACATTGAGAATTGATTTTCATGTTCCTTGTACGTCTAGTTAAAGTGATTTAATTACTATGATTATTGATTTTCTAACCAATAATGATTTAATGACAATATCCAAGGAGTGTGTGAAAGTTAATTTTTTGGCGTAATCAATCAGAAACATGATTGCTAGGTGCTAGTTTGAGCAATTGGAAAATGCAGTCCCTAAAGCAGTATAATAAAACATATGGCCCCTAGTTGGAGAAAATATTAAAAGGATAAAGTACTTTGATGCAATTTTCCCTTATTTTTACCTATCTGTAGGCTTGTTAACAGGGTTACTAAATTATCATGTTGATATAGAATTAGAATGAGATGGATATGGTTTTTTAATCTTGGCCATGACGAGTTTTTTCATCCTTGCTTAAGTTTGGATTGTTAATATATTCTTGATGCTATCATGAATTAGTGATTTTTATTTATTTATTATTGTAAGTTTATATATGTGCAATACTAGTTGCATATCTACAGCTACAAATTCAACCTCTTTGAAATGTTCAGTCGACTTGTTTTATTGCTTTATTAGATTATTTCTTGATCTCAAAATGCTTTCAACTAGAAATGTTTCTCCAAAGCTTCTCTATTTGTATAGGGGTCAGCCTAAGGGTGCACGGAATTGGTCCTTTGATCTTTTCTCTTTGCAGTCATTTGTAAATAGGTACCTCCCCATTGATTGTGGATTGGATTTGCTATTTTTTTGTATCCTTCTAAATTCCATTCCATTGTGCTAGAGTAAGATATATGTCACATCATCTATAATCTTTTAACATTTAGTTTGCTATTTTTTTGTATCCTTCTAAATTCCATTCCATTGTGCTAGAGTAAGATATATGTCACATCATCTATAATCTTTTAACATTTAGTCCTTAGGTAATCAAACCTTTTGCCGGTCTTTGTATCATTTGTTTATATCTTTGCCTTTTATTTTCTTTGAAGCCAATTACAAGGGGCAAGAAATGCAAGCACATGATAGGAGACAGGTTTGACCCTGTCTCACAAAGCTCCATAAGGGCCGCGTTGAGGCACAAGGTTCCTAAATTAATTATTGATCAATTAGTAATTAGTTTTCACGAGAGATGGTGGCTCAGAAGTAGGGAAGATTACTTGCAGTAAAGATTTAAAAATCCAGTAGCAATGATAATATAAGTGTGAGAAGGAGAATAAAGCCAATACATAAAAAAATAAATAAACGAATGTACAGATGATTAGTTGTAGTTGAGTTCTTTTTGACAAGTTAATGAAGATGAAGTGATAATTAAGAAAGGAGAGGTTAGATATATTTTGGTGAAGGAAGAAATTTGTTATGGATCCCGTTTTGGGACAAGTATACAAATGTCTTGTTGTTCATGGACACAAGAAAGGGCGAGCATGATTATTAGCAACAGTGTTGGTTTCTTTATGCAGTCTGGTAGTTTAGATATATTTTTATTTCTATCTACATTTCTGGTTCTGATCCTTTTATCTCCTTAAACTGCGGGTAGTAGTAGTTCTGTTCATCTGTAGGTATTTTCTACAGGGTAGTTTCTGAGGCTCCTGGCTATCTTCCTTTCTTCAGCTGTATTAATGTGTTATCTTGGGATGGAAGGATTTGAGGAGTGATTTACTCAAAGCTTGAGTTTCTTCTAACGCTCAGATATAATAGGATCCTGTCTTACAAGCTGTTACTAATATTAGATATAGGTCATAAAGGTGAAAAATCACACAAGGATTCTACTAACTTTCAACTAGATTTCTTGGTCACTAAGCCTGTAACTGGTTTACAATGCTCTTACTTGAGTGCCATGGTGAAGATTAGATGAGAAGAGGTGATGGAAGTGGAAAACTTACTTATCTTAGAGCATCAAGGTAAGACAAGCTGGATTAGGGGGATCATATTGACCATACCTTAGCTTTAAAGGGTGAAGCAAGATAATGGAAATTGGATGGTCCCTTAGCTTGGAATGGATACTACACATCTCTGATCTCTCTCTAGATCTCCTTTCCATTCCATATATCAGTTTTCGATACTCCATTTTTGATTAACAGGTGAGAAAAATAGCAAGTTCTTTCTTCCATGAAGGGGGAGAGGGATGGGGTTATGCTTTTCAGTTGAGAAGATCTGCCAAACTTCTGAAGAATTGGGGTTTCACATCTTGTTTATGAAACAGATGGTGGTCAGAACATGAGCTATAATCTGTGAGAAAGGAGAATTTAATGAGGATATTTAATTAAAATTGATGTAAAAAATAATAGTGAAGTTAATGTTCTCATGATATATCTTGTGGAATAAGTTATGGGCAATGTTCTGAAAATGGCTTTTGGTAGTTGGTCTGATGAGTCAGCACTTTTGTGCCAAGATGAAAATGTTAAAAACATATTGTTATTGGACTTGGAAAAGGTTACGAGAATTTTTTTTTTTTTTGAAATAAGTTACAAGGAGATTTTATCTACTTGGAAAGAGAATAAGGAAATAAAAAGAAGAAAAGATAGAAAAAAACTTTTTCTGTTGGAAAACAGTAGGGACTAAACTTGATTTCCATGCTTTAGATTTGTGATAGTGCTCAAACAGGGAAATTTGTTACTGTAGAAAATGATAAATTTTGTAGAAGCTCAACTTCTGAAAGCAATAACACTTGTCAACAAATTCAAAACCAAAACATTCTTCAACATGAGAAAATCTAGGAATTTGCTCCACTGATAGCAAATAGTAGTAGGCTAATATGCTAATGTGTAAAATTAGGAGCACAGTGTTATTAGTGTTAACTCGGGTAAAGTGTGGCTCAAGTCAATATATCTATCTGAGGCCGAGGTCAATATATCCATATAAGGCCAAGAAGTGCACTGTTAACCTAATATATAAAACATTGAAAGTTACGGTGACGTGCTTGCAAGTTAAAAAAAGATGAAAATAAAACGAAGTCCGTAGAGGCATATTAGTTTATTTGGAATTCTCTCGCTCCATCAGGATTTCCGTTTTTGCTTGGGAAGCTGCCATGGGTGCTATTCTTACACTTGATAATCTCATGAAAAGGGGTTTTCTTCTGGCTAACTGGTGTGTTATGTGCAAGCAGAATGCTGAATCATGTAACCATCTTCTCCTCTGGTGCCCCGTCTCCTATGAACTGTGCTCTATGATTTACAAGCTGCTTGGCTTGTCCTGGGTTATCTCTGTTTCTGTCAAAAGGGAGTTACTTGCCTTGGAAGGTATCAAATTCAATAACAGATGGCACAGAGTTATTCCTCTTACAATCCTCTGGATCATTTGGAAGGAAAGAAACTACAGAACTTTTGAAAGTAGAGAAACTAACCTTACTTATATTAAGGACAAGTGGCTGCACTTTTTTGGTTCCATTGTTCTTGGTCATAACCTTGTTTCTTCTGATGATCTTGGTTATCTTGTAGATATTCTTACTGACCTGTAAATTTCTTTCGTGCATGGGTTCGCCCCCTTGGCGTCTCTTTAATATTTCATCTTACTTTTATCTCAAAAAAATAAAGGCATATTAGTTTATTATTATGTTTCCAAGCATCAGACAAACTGAAATCTGGACGAATTGTCTGAATCATGGATTCCCTCTATACTATCTTGCGTAGGAGTAGACTGCCATGGAGATAAGCACTAAAATCATCAATATTGTGTTACATTGAAAATAGCACCTAGGGCCATGCTGTATTGCTTGCTGGATGAATTCAGTTACTGAAAGTTTCTCCTTTTAATCATTTTGTTTTCTCTATAATCTTTTCAGCACCATTGATTATATTTTGTTTGTTGATTTTCTTACCTTCTGTAGCTTGGTGAATTTTACTTAAGAAGAGTATGAAATTAATATTTGATTATTTTATTTAGCGAACTGCTTTGCTGTTGTATTGATAGAATAGCTCCATGCAGAATCCTATACTGTCTTGCTCATGATGTGATTTTATATGTTTTAATGAATCTGAGTTCTCATGCTTGATGCAAATTCATGTGATTAGTGGAAAAAATGAGAAATAATTTCTGGTTTTCCATATAGAAAGCTATAAACATATATCTTTTAACCATCCTGCCATATGAACAGGGATCTATATAGGTGATGGAAAAGTAATCCACTTCACTCGTGCAGCCGGCCAGGAAATTGGTACTGGAACTGCCCTAGACCGCTTCCTTTTTAGTTCATCTCCATCTCATCCTTCTGACAATCCATGCCCACAATGTGGTGATCAAACAAGGCTCGAGGGTGTCATCTGTTCTTGTGTTGACTGTTTCCTCTCTGGTGGTGAGCTCTACCTCTTTGAGTATGGTGTCTCACCAGCTTTATTCCTTGTCAAAGCTCGGGGAGGAACTTGTACTCTTGCCACTTCTGACCCACCAAAAGATGTTCTCCGTCGCAGTTACTTCCTCCTCCAGAATGGTTTTGGTGGCTATAATATTTTCAAGAACAACTGTGAGGACTTCTCAATTTACTGTAAAACAGGTCTTCTGGTTTCCACTAGTCTAAGTGTAGGTCGGAGTGGGCAGGCAGCATCATTTGTAGCTGCTACTAGTGCTATTGTTTCCTCGCCTCTTCGATTCTTGACTACCAGCTTCAGTGGCCTGGCAGCAGTTAGTTGTGGTATGTATTGTATTAGCCGATTGGTTTCTGATATTGGCATACGCAGGGATGTAGCCAAAGTCCCTGTTGAAAGGCTTGTTGCTGTTTTGGCATTTGATGAATCAACCATTGTAGCTGATGTGGCTGAGAAAGATGAGTTAATTAAAGCCAACCCAATTGCAGCGAAAGAAGATGAGTCGGTCACTGAAGTCAATATCACGAAGAAAGATGACTCGGTTGTTGAAGCTGTTACATCCTAGACAGAGTAAGCTTTCAATATTAGATTGTGGATTACAAGTATGGTAGTTGTCTTTGGAGTACTGCAATGTTACAAGTAGAAACACTTTCACTTTTTGTGGATTTACCAATATATATCATATATATGTGTGTGGATGGAGTATGCCTGGTAATATAAAGACGAATAGAGTTGTTTTAAAAAAGAACAGATTGAATTATAGAAATTTGAAGGTTGTCCTGTTAGCTAGCTATATTATGATTTAGTTCGTTCAAGTGTGGCTCAAGTTAGGGTTATCAGATTTAGATGAGGCAAGTGCTTGTTTTCTTTTTAACGCAAACTTTCTATATATATATATATATATTAATTTATCCTTTTAAAAGTTGTATATATTTTGTTATTGTTTATGAAATTATATTTGAAGTCATTATTTGAGACCATCAATTTCTGGGACCATGTTGTTTGGCTCATAATAACTGAAAGTCAAATTCAATGCATTAGTATCTTACTGATATTGATTTATGTCTTATCAAAAGTTGGATATATTTTGTTACTATTAAATTATTATTTTAGCTATTATTTGCTTTATAGGATGTCTGTCCATGTGTGTGCCAACATATACATATACATATATATATATATATGAAATACTAGGTACATCTGAAACTTATGATATGTTAACATCCTAACTCGGGTGAATTGAAACATATAAAAAAAGGGTTTTACTTAAACATTATTTTGAATTCTACCCAAAATTTTAAAATTAACAAAAAGATTAAATTAGATTAATAAATTTAGTATTACTTTTTTTTAAAAAAATCTTTTGGTTTAAATATGTTATAAGAATTTATTATACTCATTCCCGTAGTCTCATTGCATTAACTGAATTCAACCTGCCCTATTACTTAGGTAACAGGACATAGACTTACCAATTTACTATGGACCACGCCTGAAATTTTCCCTTCTATGTTATTCGAACTTGGGTTTAAATATTCATAGTTACAAAAATCAATGATCATGAATCAGATCCAGACGGTCAGCATCAAGAACCAGATGGAATCCAACGGTTCATATTGTATCCAAAAGCAGTATTTTATCATAAAAATATAATCTTCAATTAAAAAATTCATATTCAATATATAATACTAATACATTAATGGAGCTCCAATAATTCAGTCAATTGAACTAAAAATGAAGAATGTTGTAATTTGTTGCTGGTAGGAAAAATTAAAATGAAAAAGTAATTGTGTAAATTGAGATTTGAAAATTTATCAAAAGGTAAGAGTATTTACAAATTCTAAATTGAAGCCACCAAACTACTGAAATAATATATCACTAATGTAATAAAATGGTCAGATAGGTTAAAGTTTGTATTTTATTTGAAAATTACGAATTTAAATATTAATAAATACTTATAATTTATTATTTTATAAATGTATTGATAATTACTGTTAATTATCTTATAATATTTAATTTAATATAATATTTATTTAATTTCCTGATGTATTGATGAAAATTATAGTGATCAAATTGAATTTAGTATTAACGAGTCATGTTTTGTTTAAACAAAATAAATATTTTGTGACACTTAAATTACGTTAGTTAAAATAATTACAACAAATTAAAAAATTCCACTATCAATTTTTTAAAAAAGCTATCAAACAAATATAGCCGTTAGAAATTTGAATCAAATCTTATTTTCAATGTTGAAATAAACGTTATTCTGGGAAAAAAAGTAATATAATAATAATAACGAAAATAATAAGAAATAAGAACAAATTGGAATTAGTGGGTGTCAGTTAGTGGGGACATACAGCACACTGAAAGATTCATCCAACGGCAATTTTTTTCGCAGAGATTCCCCGCCTCTTCCTCAAAAATTTGAAATCTCTCTCTCTCTCTCTCTCTCTGCCATCAATTAAATCCCAAAAAGTTGCAAAATTTGAAACCATCTTCTTCTTGGACCACGCACCCTTCTTCTCTTCTTTCCTTATCTACCGAGACTCGCAGACTTTTCTTCTTATCCTCCATTTTCTCTATTGATATTCTTTCTGTTTGTCCTCTGTAATTAGCATGAGTTCCTCCATTAATCCACTTTCTTTGTAATAGTCTCCATATCTCTCCGGATTTCCATTTTGTCACCTGAGTTGTCATCCATTCAACTCTCGTTCTTTCTTCTATTTCTTCTCTGTAATTATTCTCATTTTTCTCTCTGGGGGAGGTCGCCTTTTGTTATCTGGTTGAAATGGGTAGTTGTTTCAGTAAGAAAAATGAAGGTTCTTCTTCTTCTTCTTCTTCGGTTTTGCCAGGTGGTGTTGCTAACGGATCTGCTGCTTGTTCGACTTTAGCAACAGCAGTAGATCCTAACAAGAGTAGCAGTAATGTTACTGCAACTACTACACAGAAAATGGAGACGGTGCAAAACGTTAAGAAAAAGATAGTTCATCAAGAAGAGGCTAAAATAGAGAAGGAAGAGGTGAAAAAGGAGATATTCATTATAAAACACAGGAAGAGTCACGAAAGGGAAAGAGAGAGAAGATCTCCTCCTCAACACAATGTTGATCCGGCCACTGCTTCTTCTTCTTCTACTTCAACTGAAGAAATGGTGGGTAACAGCAACGTTAATGGTGGGTGTAATGGTGTGGTGAGGACGTCGAGCTGCACGAAAGAAGAAGTGGACGCCATTCTCATACAATGCGGAAGGCTTTCCCGGAGCAACTCTTCCGGGAAAACAGCTTCGTCCGGGAGAAAATACTCTGGTTCGAAGAGGAGCTACGATTTTGATAACCATGAAAATGGCCGTGACGATGTTGGGGCTTCAGATGATTTTGATTCCAAGAGGAAAGGAAATGAATACGATGAAGACGAAGCTGAAGAGAGACGGCAGCACCGTCACCGTCGCCGTCAGTCCGGCCGGCCGTCTCCGGGAAGGAGGAGAACGCCGAGCAGGGAAAGAGAACAACAGCAGCGGTCAGGTAGCAGAGAAAGAGCAAACAGCAATGACGGCGGGAGACGGGTGAGTCGATCCCCGGGGAGAAGATCTGAGAGCACCAACAACTCAACAACCATGGCGGCTACAACCGCCGGTATAGGTAATAATGTGAACACTGCTTCCAGACCCGGGAAAATGGTGTCAGTTCCTGCAACTGTTTCTTCCTTAGTTATGGATAAGAGTAACAATGGCGGAACTGCTGCTGAACCTGCAACCATTAAACGAATCTCTGTCAAGAGAAATGCTTGCGAGGTTACAGCTTCGGGTCCAAGGAGTGCAGCATCGCCCCGTTCAAAGTCTCCGGCGAGAACATATGCCACCGGAAATGGTAAAGGATTGACGGAGAATCAGCAAGTGCAGCCGGTACTTAGCCGGAGCTCTTCGAGGAAAGCAGAGCAATCGCCTTATAGAAGAAATCCACTAGGTGAGATTGATCCCAACTCGCTTGCATATCCGCAATCCGCGGGCAACAAAGCTTCCAGCAACACTAACAACAACAGCAGGGTATCCAACAATGGCCTGAATCAGGTAATGCTTCTGCTCCTAATTTTTCTTTCATGGCTTGATTTTAAGAATATTCTGTATATATTTTGAAAAATATTTTGTATATATTATGGAAATATCTCATGGGAGAGATCCTAATACTTTTTGTATATGATGTCTACAACTCTTTCAATGATGTATTTTCATTTTTTATCTTAGTACAAAACTCATTCTCGGTCTTACTTGTAGATATAAGACTACCTATTAAATCATGTAAATTTTGTATCTTCTCTTATTTTGTTACTTATTATTTTCTCAAACTCTTGGATTAGGGACTGTTTGAGGGGATTTCTTTTTGTTGGATGGTAAGCATACAAGGTTTATAATTATATAAAGCAAGTATTTTTGCATGAATGCAGAAGCCAAATCCTGAGATTACCAACAATGGAGGAGTTGCTCAAGGAACTAATCGCAAACCCAGTTGCTGCACAGCCAAGGAGCAGGAATTACTGGTTCCAGAAGCCAAACCACAGGTGGCAATCAATGGCGACAATATTACCATGGCAAACCCAGTTGCAGAGGGCCTGCAGAACCCTCAAACACTAACTAGAACCAGGTCTGCAAGACGATCTCGAGAGCTTGACATAAACCCTGAAGCTTTACTCAATCCAATACCTTCGTACACGGCTTTATTGCTTGAAGACATTCAGAATTTTCACCAGAAAAACACCCCTCCAATTTCACTCCCACCCTGTGTCACCAAAGCCTGTTCAATTCTTGAAGCAGTTGCAGACCTTAACTCAACCATAAGCTCCAATCTGTCCTGTGCAATATCTGGACATGACAGAAAGAGTCCCCCACTAGACCAATATAACAGGAATGAGCACAATTTCTGTTTAGGCAACAATAAGAAAGTTTCAGAAGGCAAAGACCCTTTTGTGGAATCTGAAGTTTTTGTAAGAGATGAGCTGATGGAGCCAAGCTTTCATAAGTATGTGACAGTGAGGAGAGGTGGTGGAGGAGGAGATGACATGGAGGAGCAGGAATCATCGGGCAGCAATAGCTTTACCGGCAGTGTTATTCATCAACAGAACTGGGGATTTTCTTCATCTTCCTACGAGCCCAATTCAGCAGATTCAACTGACCGGTGGAGTTCGAGATCGAACACCAGAGAGCAGCGGGATCAGAGTCCACTGGGATTTGCAGGTTGCAACGCCAATGAGAATAAAAGGGGATATAGTGGGAACAGGAGAGACTATGATCTGCAACAAAATGGAATTGGGCGAGGTAGACTTGCTGGGAGCAATAGCATTCATGGAGTTTCCTTTGTTGCAGCTGCTGCAACAACATAAATTCTAGTTCTTTTTTTTTCTTCCACTTGCAAAAACATTATTGTGCTGTTGTTGGGTTGCCATCTTGCAACCTGTTTCTTTGATTGTTCGATTTAAAATCAGCTCATTTGGAAGAAGAATTTGCACTTATTCTTCTTGTGTTTTGTTAGTCACTTCCCGTTATATAATAATTAGATAACTCTACAATGTGTTACATAATTATCATAAAATTACTAAAATCTACTGAAAAGTCCACTAATCTGTACACGCGTGCATTGATAATGATTGTCTTGCACTGTCTTGCATTTAAGCAATTGAATTTTAAGTTGCACCAGTTTGGTTCTTAGCAGCTTCTGAGAAAATAACTCAAATAACTTTTACCTATATTTAAACCTTGAGAAAACTTCCTATTGTTCTGGTATATTTACAGAGATTACAATAATCAGATCTGTGGGAAAGCTTAACCTATCTTTCTATATACATACATGATACAAACATGCAGCAGAGACTACATGCATGATACAAACATGCAGCAGAGCCTACAGCAAAAGGCAGCCTGTATATTGTTCTTTCTTCTTCACTTTATGCTTCATATCATTCATCATTACCACGGAAGTTAACCATGTATATTGCAATAACTGTGACTGTAGCTCCAACCAGTTGCAAGGGAGAGAAGGTCTCACCAAGATATAGAAACCTGGGGAGTAGAATCATAAACAATAAATTAGGGGAACTAGATTGAATGATCTACACGATTTCATCAGTTTTCATCTTCTAGGGAGTGGATGATCTTACCCAAAGATTGAAGCAAACATCGGAGTTAGAAAGGTGAGTGAGCTAAGCCTGGTTAGGCTACCTGAAGGGCATTCACAATACCAAATTACGATACAGAAAACAAATTACAATAAGGTTTATAAACTATTATCTGATGCGGACCTCTCAGTCAAAGTCTATGGAACGATTTCGACTAGAAATATTTTTCTGTTGAAGTCATTTTAAATAAAGTGAAAGCACGAGATGACAAAAAAAGAAACAAGAAAACAACCATATAGTTTTCTCAAATGGAAGAAGAACAAAATAGATACCAAGTAAGATCTTAAAATTGGTAACTACCTTTTGTAGCACTGTAGAAGAATACACCATAGCTGACAGCACTTCCAAAAATGGAGGTGTACAGGAGTGCCAAAATATCACTTGCTGTAAGCTCTTGAAGAACCCCACCGAAGACAGCCTCGTGGTTCAGAACAGAAAGTGCCACAAGAGGCAGACCACCAATAACCATGTGCTGCAACAAAATAAGCTTGTGGTTGTTAGTCCTTTGTTATCCACCTTGTAATTTGGAATGTTGCAGAAAGTGTATCCTGATTTTTTTCCCTTCTCCATTACAATAACTCTCAATAATATGTTTGATCATTACAATTGTGTTCTACCATCTGGATATAAAATGGCCAACCAAATAGTTCGGCTAGAATGACACTCTCTTCCATATTATTGGCACTCCTACCATCTGAAGCAGGACTATCTAGTAGTTTTTACTAATATTGGATTACTACTACGATTATTATATTTTAGCAAGATTTTATAGGTATAGTATTTTGTTAAATTTTTATTTCTTTCTTAGTTAGTAGTCTCATTTTGTTTTTTTATTTGTTTTTCTATTTCAGGCTTCTATTTGTATTAAGTAACATAGACACTTGTAGTATATGGATAGTTCATTATTCAACGGTCTACTTAAGAATAAAAATCTATTGATACTCTCATTAATTTGAAAGTACTACAACTCTGTTGTTGAGTGTCTGACAATGGTCTGCTTATTTTGTGCTTCACCGGAGGCCTGCAGGTTGTGACGAGAATTTGTATCTAGACATGTTTTACCCTCCTTGGTGTCGTTTATCTAAAAGCTTAGCAAGAGTTTCTTTCTCTACCAAAAAGCAAGAACTAGGCCTACTAGATAAAATAAAGTATATTACTAATTCTGTTTTCCAATCAACCAAGAAAAGGGCAAATAAGTGAAAAGTCAAACAGGAAGCTTTTCCAACATTTTCATGAGATAATGCTAGGACTAATCAACAAATCATGGAAAATAATGAGTCAATTGCTAAGTGAGAATAGACATCTTACCCATCCAGTCGCCATAACAGGATCAGAGTACTTCGAAACCCAGCGGACCATAACCGTGCCAACAGCCATGCTCTGGGCTGCAAGAAACATCCACCACTCTCCACTCCCCCATAATGAAAAATTACTCTCGTCCAAGGCAAGCGCAGGGACCTGCAGAATGAAACACATCATCATACAAATGAAAATGAAGTGGCAAGTATCAGTTATATTTTATCTGAAAGAGCAGTAGCGCTTTAAATCAGGTAGACCCCCTTTTTCATTTTAGTATGTACAATTTATTTACACCATCTGGAAAGAGACCTTGCAACAATCATATGCTAAGGAATGGGTACTCTATGAAATACATTCAAGATGAACCTTAGGGTTGGGTTCATCAATGTTTCAGAAGCTTAGGGTTCTTCCTGGATCACAGGTTGAAGCTTCATGTTACAATTAACAATTTTCCAGCAAATCATACGAACTCAGTCTACAGGAGGAAGAAAGAAAGCCAAATCTCCTATAGATAGATGACCCTTTATTTGACTTGGTAGCAACATATGGAATCTTATTTCAATTTCTCTTTCTAATGCAACTATGGTTCTTACTAACCGTTGCTTTCACTCCCAACCCACAAATGAAAGATCCTCTATTGGCCTGAAAATTCAGGCCCAGGATCTTGAAACTACGATTGGGAAAGATTTTTGAAGGTAGAGGATGGTTAAACAGAGGCCTTTAACGCCTAAACTTGTTTATTAATGAGAATAAAGGAGGTTGATGATGACATATTGTGGAATGTTGACATGCTGCAGGGAAAGCTTCATATACACTTTTTTTTTGAGATAAAATGGTTCATTATCAATAAGCTTCATATACACTCTTAATTGTCAAGCTCAATCATGGAAAGCGAAATTGTGGACTATCTATAATTTATTTTTTCATCCTTTCTGTACCCTCTACCCTAAAATCCAGTCAGAAGCTCTAGATGTACAATTCAATCCCAAAATGCTGGCATGAGGTTGAACTTTCCTCCAGTATCAAGTGTTATAACTTTTAATCTTCTGTCCAAGCCAACCCTGAAATAATGCTTTTCGTAATGACTTCAGGTGCGACAAAATTTGTTTTCGGAATCAGATATGCTATTTAGAGATTTTTTTGTTCTATATGTAAAGGTGTTTAATTTATTACAGGGCTTGCAGTAGGATAGAAAAAAAATTGTTCCTCCACAAGTTAGCCGCTGTGTTGTCCAAGATTTCACAAATGAAAAGACTGGTACATAGTAGAAGCTAGATTACCAATATCGAGGTTCCTGCAAGAATCAGTTCTTCGTAAAGATAAAGTGACATTGGAATCCCTATTGACACTGTCAAAGATCCTGATTTAAATATTTTCTCTACAAGTCACATTCATGGCAGCTCCTGTTTTAAGTCTTCACAGATAAATAGATAGCTATTGCATGTAGAAGGCCCAACTATCAGCAATAATAGGTAAAATGGCAATAAGAGGAAAAGCTTTTTGAACGAATTGTATGAAATAATTTGGTGATGACATATTATATTAAAAAGTTATGCTCATAAAACAGGGCTCAAATTTATTGTTTACATTACATTCTAACACCGGTAAGAGAATAATATAGTCTAACAAAAAATTTATTCTTCACTAATTCAATAACATGGTATATTGGCCTTAGGCAATTTGTGCTTGAATAAGGAGCAGAAGAACATTGATAATGCTCTGAACTTGTTCCCTAATGGGAAAGGAAAAAGGAATGGCTTATGAAGCATGCCTTTAAGAAAGCTACTAACATATTCGCAGCACTCTCATGAAGGATCAGAGGTACCAATGCAAAAGCCAGTCAGTCAAGGATTCAACATTTGACTAGACAAAATCGAATTGGAGAAATCTATCATCCCTCTGTAGTTTCCAAATGTTACCTCGAGAAGTAGAAGTCCAATGACACCAAGTAAAAGTCCTGCAGCTCCTACTAATCCAATAGACTCTCCAAACAACAAAGCCGCAAGTATGGCAACTGTTATGGGCTGTGAATCAATTATCACCTGCCACCATAAGAAGCATGGATTACATATTCATTTGTTATCATCTTTTTCATTTCGCTTTATGGCAACCAGTACATCCAGCAGAACAGTTTCATGATAAGCAGAAAGCCAGACAGATTTTCATATGCAAATTTAGGTACATTCTTAAAAAAAAAGAAGAGACCATGAACTCCACCACCAATGTTCTGAAGTTCAGATGTTTTATCTCTGCTTCTTAGACTTCAAATTTTGAGGAAGAACGTATCCAAAAAACCAGAAATCTCAATCAGATTTGCAAGAATTTGTAAGGTAAACATACGCTTCCCAGACCTGCGGAAGTCCTTTGTAACCCTTCAGCAAGAAATCCCTGCACCACCATTATCACCAAAGATCAGAAACAAAATGTCTCTTTAACATTATTTTCCAACTATAATTTGCCACTTAAAATACATTATCATTTTCCTATTCTTGTAGCTCATCTTTGAGCATACTGTTCTGCAGTTGAACTTTCATAAATTTCTGACTCCATACCTTCTATCATCCTCTCTTAAAATTGCAAGTTGCGACATGCAACCCATCATAAAAAAAATTAGTAACTTGCATAGCAAGAAATTATTTTGTGAACCAGATACCTTCATACTTCAACAAGTTCAATATAAATCTAAGTTAACAATTAAAAAAAAAAGAAAGAGGACCAGATTTTTTCGAGAGATTCTTATCAATCTATTAATAGATATTGCATTAAACACTGAATAGAAAACTTCAAGTAAGATTAAACATTAATTATATGCTTTAAAAATCCAGGCACCAAACAAGAAAAACTAAAACTTCGGGCAAAAAAAGAAGTATTGAGTCCTATAATTTGCATATAAACTTGTTAGTAGTACTATATTAATAAGCAGACCTGGAAACAAGCAGCATCCACCAAAGCAAAGACAGCAATGGAGATCCAAGCATTGAACCCAGAAGGCAATCTCCGACCTTTATACGCAGCAAACGCCACCAAAATCATCCCAGCCGGAATCAACCGGAAAGCCGCCACAAAAAACGGGCCGGCCTTCGGCAACACCTCCTTCATCGCCACCATAGCCGTACCCCAGAAGAAAAATGGTGAAACCAAAACAATCCATTCCCAAATCACGCTCTGTATCCCCTTCGTTTCCTCCGATTCTTGAGAAGGTAACAGCGGGTCGGTTTCCGACGCGACACACTCCACGTCCAGGCCAGTCCCCACGCAATCAATGGTAACCGGTGGTGGAGATTGTTGAGTCTCCATGTTTTTCATGCTGCAGCGAAGTAAATGGCGGTTTCTGAAGGTTGCCGGAGAAGCGGTGAGGAGACCGAAGAAGGAAGAAGAGGATGAAATGCCATTGATGCAGGGAAGGGGTTTAGAAGAGAGAAGAGTGGGGTTAACTGGAGAAGCTCGATGTCTCATCCATGGCTGCGGATGAAGTAGAAAAGAGCTTCTGCGGGTATTGGTGGTGAGATAATGGTGAGGGTAATGGTTTAGGAAGAAGGAAGAAGAAGAAGATGCAGAGGCGGAACATTGCCACCCCATTTTTGGCGTCTTCAAACTTCTCTGCTTGGCCACATAAAATTGACAACTGAGAAGAAACAAATCTTCTCAGACAACCACTGAATATCTAAAGCCCGAATCTTTTTTCATAATAACCCACCAATTTAACGTAAACTTCAAAATGACCCACAATTTTAACGAAAATTTTATAATGACCCACTATTTTAACATAAATGTTATAATTACCCACTATGTTAACGTAAATTACACATTATTCCACTATTTAAACAAACCAATTCATTTAACTCCACTTCCTACGGCACTGCTTGAAATTACCAGTTTCTTCATCGGAATACAGATAATTACAAGGCAGCCACTAGTAAACCCTCAACCCTAAACAGCTAAAACGCTTCTTCCCGGTTCTTTTCTCTCTCTTCTCGTTGTCTCTCTGGTTCGAAATTTCTACTTCTCTCTGGTGGAATCTAGCCCGTAGAAGAACAGCAGCATTAGGCACGCCACGTTCAGCCATCTCAGTTATCTGTCCGTCGTTTCAGCTGCCAGGTCTTTTGACCTCCGGCGAGCCCTATTGTTTCCTTTGTCTTTTCCTTCTCTCTCAGTCGCGCTCAACTTACTCTTTTTGCTCGCTCTCTTTCCTCGTCGTTCTTTCATAGGTTCCGCGTGAATCGAGCACCCTCCGCGTGTCAAGTTGTCGATCGGACGAAAAACCCGTCGGAGTGGGCGTTCTCCATCTCCATTTTGGCCACTGCCTACAGCCAAGCTTTGAAAGTTTGCTCTCACTTTGTTTCCCTCTTCTGATTGGGTAAAACTCAAATCCTTTCATCTAATACAACAAAACAGTTAAATGGACGGTTTTCTATGTTCGTAGTAGTGTTGTGGCTCGTGTTATACTGCTAGGATGTTTTGATTTCTACTCTGAGTTTTGAGGTCAATTGGACCATGCTTTCTTCTGCATTTTGGCTTTTTCTTTTTTCTGTTTTATTTGGTTAACATCTCTTCTTAGCAGGGCTTAGCAGATACTTTTAGTTTTCTGGGAGTTGTTTCTTAGTTGTTCTTTTTCTTTTTACTGGTCTTGTGTTGTCCCGGGATTTCTTTCTTTATTTTTTTTTTAGCAAAAACTAACCCACCTCTTTGTTCAATGGCCATAATTCTTTTACTTTCAAATTCTCGTCGCTCATGCCTAGAATCTGGGAATTTGGAATCGGAAATTCAGAAATTTGGAATTGGAAAAGGAATTGGGCATAACATGGTTTGGAGGATTTTCCCTACCGAGAGGAGAAAAAAGTTTAGATGCAAATGGACCGTTTTCTCTAGATGCCACAAATTCCATCAGCCATCTTATGGCTCATTGATTTTGTTACTACCATGTCATGACATTTCAGTTTAGAGCGTTTAAGTTGTCATATTAGAGAGTCTCCTGAATCTTGAATCTCACTTGTATGACTAAGGCTAAAACGCACTGGCCATCTAAATTTTCTTCCTCAATGTGTAGCACCTTTAGTATTGTTATTTAGGAAACTGTTCTTAAATTGATCTTTTCAATTTTGCAGGAAGACTGTTACCTGGTTCCTAATCCGCAAAAATGTCAAGTGGGCTTGGACTCGAGTCTCTTGTTGATCGTATGGCTCCTTAATTATCTAAGTCTTGATAACTATTTGTCTTTCATTCTTTTTTACTCTGAGAAATGTTTGTATCAGTATTTTCTTGTATCTAGCATGTAATATTGTATATGGCACGCATAGTGGGGGATTTGACAACAAGATTGTATTCCTGATGTTTTTGCCAAAACTTATTGAAATTGCAGACACAATTTCAGTTATTACAAATGATGGGCGCAATATTGTGGTGAGTAGTTGGTATTTGTGGAGTATATTATATATGATAAAATCCTCGTTTTATGGTATTTTGGTTTGTTTTTCAGGGAATCCTGAAAGGTTTTGACCAAGCTACAAATATAATCCTTGATGAATCTCATGAACGTGTTTTCTCCACCAAGGTATAAATCTGTTTCTGGAAGAGGATGCCAAAGGGACAAAGATAAGAAATATAGTTATTGATTGTATCCTTCATTCTTGTATTATATCTCATTGGATCAACGACTGAAAAAATGTTTCTTGAATTGTATCTTTGTTTTATTTGGTAATCCTATACAAACTTTTACGCTATGTTTCGATTGAGGAAGTGATGATTTGATGAGATACTCACCATTTGTTCTCTTTTTCTGATAGAACTCACCATTCTTTCCCTTGTCTAGATGAAAAAAAAAAAGAAATTAGTAAAGCAAAGACAGCGATGTTCGCATTTCCTCCCTTTCCAAACTCCAATCTTTTCATTCCTCCAATTTTAGAGGAAGGATAGAAAGGAAACAGAAGGACTTGAAAGGATATTATTGACTATTTCCTAGGTCAAATAAAATACTACAACAATACTTTCATTTCTTTTTTTTTCTAATTTTTATTTATCCAAACAAAGGAAACACATTCCTTTCCTTCCCTTTAAGCACCACTGTTTTCCATCTTTCTCCATCTTTTTTTTGTGGAAGAATCTGCGTCAAACATCTATTTGGTGTAGCTGACTTCTTGGTTATTCATTATGTTTCTAGTTCTCCCTTTTCTGTAAATATAGATTATCATCATCACTTTCTCTTTTCTGTTTTGTGGTTTGTGGCTCAAGCCTAAGGTCTTGGGTCCTTTACTACGATCAAAAGAGACAGAAAAAGTAAAGTTGATATCCCTATGAAAAGAGAGAAGACTTGGTGAACAGACATTTCATTTGTAAGTGCAAAGCTTAGACACTGAGATATCTTCTACTGTGGTGCTCTTGGTATAGATTTTTCAGGGCCTTAGCTTTGGGGCTAATGGGCATGAAATAGGTAATGGTTGCTTTGGATCCTGACAAGATCAGAGGCTGGGGGGGGAGTATCTGCAGCTAGCAGATAAGCTCAGCCTGTGGCTCTCATTCCTCTACCCATTCTTGGATCGAGGAAAGGAATTTGCGGAGGGAAAGGAATTTGCATCTTCGAGGGTTGAAATGCCCTTTTAGAGGTGTAAAGAAGTTGCTGGTTTTATTTTTTATTTTTAACTTCGGCTCATTAATCAGAGGATTTTGATTGAAAGCTTCTGATTTTGTAGAAAATTTTGGCTCCTTTTTAAGTTCCGAACCTTGTTTTTGGATGGCAGACCCTTGGTGAGCCATGTCCTAAAGTTTTGTTTTCCTTTCAAAGAAACCAGAGATACAAAATTGAGGGGACGGATCTTTCGTGATTAATTTTTTAACTGTTGTGATTTGTTAATAAGATTGGAATTCGTGTTAATCATGTCCATACGGGTCATGCCAAGTTAATGAGTAGATGAATGTTAATAGTCAGCAATGAGGAACCCCCAATTTGCCTTCTTTTGGGCTGCCTTCTAGCCAGCTCAATTTGTAATTTACCATCAAGTTCCTAGGTTTCAGTTTGGTTTTATGACCTTGGAGCTTGTGGGTGTGGGAAGAATGGTAAGAGGTTCTCCTCTCACATTCCCTAAACCATGTTTGGGATCATTTGGAAGAAAATGAGGAAGGGAGTTTTGGGAATGGGTGCTTCTTCTTTTGTAAGCTTGAGGAAATATTGGTTCTAAATTTTTTTTTACAAGAATCATCTGTGGTATAGTGCTGAGGATTAAACATACTTCGTAAGTATTAAAGGGGTTTGACCTGTTTATAACTGTACTTTTTCTCTCTTAAAATCATGTGGCTTATGCTCGGTTCCATACATTGGTCTCATGATCATCGGGAGGAGGTTAAATTCTTTTTATGCCCATGTGACTTATGCTCTTTGGTTCCATAACTTGGTCTCATGATTTTTGAAAGGAAGTAGTTGCTTTTACCTGAAGCGTCGTGAGCTGTTTTTCTTATTCTTCAACTACTGATTGAAAATATTTTTGGTCATTTTTGTTGCTATTTATTATACTTAATTCCTGCCTGATATTTTGTCCTCTACTTAGTTTTAGCAAAAATTGCTGTATCTCCTCTGATTAAGGAACTTCATCATTTTTGGTTCCTTTATCCCTGCCCTTCCTTCCTGAGCCCCTTTCCTCCATTCTGTATTCAACAACTATATCAAAATAGTTTTCATGATCCAATGCACTTTTTCTTCCCCCTCTCTTGGTAGACAGTCATGTTTTTGGCATATTGCAGGAAGGAGTGCAGCAACTTGTGTTGGGTTTGTACATTATAAGAGGCGACAACATGTACGTTACCTCATTTAGTTCCTTTATCAAGCTACACTTTCTTGTGGGTTTCATTGCATATTTTCATGTTCTTCCTGCATTTTGGATCTTGCAGAAGCGTTATAGGGGAATTGAATGAGGAGCTGGATGCAAGTTTGGATCTCTCGAAACTGAGAGCTCATCCCCTGAAGCCTGTTGTCCATTGATGACTGGCCCGCTCCATTTGTGAGTTGCATTGCTAAACTTTCTCTGTTGGAAAGTCTTCGCACAATTTTAAATTTAAAATGCTTCTTGCAGTATATGAGATATCGACAAAGAGCCAACGGTATATGGATTAATTAGTGTTTTAGGCTTATGTTTTTAGTTTAAATGTTGGTCGGTGGTTCGTTCAAAGCAGTCTGTTTGTGTGAGCTTGACAAAATGAGGTAGCTCGAGGAAAATACATATTGAACAAGTAACTATAATCTGGAGTTGGGAACGCTGGTTGTTTTTGTATGGATGGGAAATATTACTGCTCTGTCATTTACAGCATGAATGTGGCTATATATGTATGCGTTGTAAATGCATGTGTTTGTAGTGTATGCATATGTTGTATGTTGTTTGTCACAGCGAAGTTATATTATTTGGTCATTTACAACCCCAGTGTGTGCTTATAAATCTGTATGTGTGTATTTAAATGCATACCTGAATGTATAGTGCATGCCCGTGTGTATATATATATATGCACATGTTCGTTTGTTACAATGGAAATGTCGGTAATGTCAAAGTTCATCTGGTTTGGTCATTTAAAGCCTCAATTTAGTGTATGTATATGTACATGAAATGCATATGAGTAGATTAATGGATGCACATATATATATATATATGTATTGTTTTCTAAAGATTAATTGTGTTGACTTAATATATTTTGAGAGAAACGATTATTTATATTTTAGAAACAGTAATAAGTTAAATAATTTTCTATAAGCTTAGTTGATCGCCAAAACTCATTTTATTCTTATTTAATTTCCATTTGTTAACCTATATTTCAATCTCATTTTCTTAAAAGTTAAATATGCTATATATATATATATATATATATATTTATATATATATATACACGTACAAATTAGAAGATTCTATACGCATGCATTGACCAATTCAAGTAACAATTTTTTATTTTACTTTTAAGGTGCATAACTTGTTATATAATTTCATATACACAGGGTGATAATTATACTTTCAAAGTTTTAACTAATATTTTGTTATTAGATCAATTCTATCATGTTACCATGTTGACTATTAACCAAGAGGGTGAGTTACCAACTATACCAAACTATCAATATAAAAGTAATTTCTAATAAATACATAAACTATATGAATCATATATACATATAAATATATATATATGTATATAACATTAGTTCCTATACTTAATACAACAACTTAGTGACCTAATAATATTGGAATTTTTCGTAAAATAGAATAGGAAATAGTTGGTTTGAAGTTTGACTTGGGGCCTCACATGTTCCTCACGAAATTAATTGATTATGGTTTGATTTAAGTTTAGGTTTAGTAATTTATTTATTTAATTTAGTA